ATAGGAGTCCCTAACCGACCTATGTAACTAAATTACCTTATGCCCTAGCCTACCTATATAATAAATTAATTTTTACCTCACCTACCTATGCTTCATTAACTTAACTCAAGACTCATGAAGAAAGAGAAAAAGGAGTAAAACAGAACATAAAATACTACCACACAAACAAACATGATGTATGTATGTATGTATGAGCAACCGCTAAAGAACCCACCTAAAATATAAAAAAATACAACATACAAACACACAAACCACAGACATGCAAACTCTATATAACTCTATATAAAATAAAATTAAATAAAAATAAATTAATTTAAAAAATATAAATATAAAAAAATGAGATCAGGCACTCCGACTCGAGCGAGGCAGAAATGCCTGATCTGATTTCAACGATTTTTCAGCTCCTATTTATACTCGTTTCAACCATATCATATCGGTAATCAGTGCTATATATGTAAGCACGCAGCTCAAATTTTTCGGGGAGAATTCAAAATTGTTTGAGACCACACCTTGCTTAACATCCAATTCCAAGCCGAGCCAAGCCAAGCTGAGCCAATATGCATAAATTCATTATAAAAAACAACAGTAGCCATTACTATATATGTACGCACGCAGTTCAAATTTTTCGGGGAGAATTCAAAATAGTTTAAGACCACACCTTGCTTAACATCCGATTCCAAGCCGAGCCAAGCCAAGCTGAGCCAATATGCATAGATTTATAAGCGCTTTTATATTAAAATTTTGCTCGCTTTATAAACGAATATCCCAATATAACAAATTCTCCATCCTATTTTAACTTTCTTTGATGCTTTTTAATCAGTCAGGTCACAAAAATCATTAGTGACATCGCAATGAAATCAATTGGAAATTTTTTTTAAATTATTGATAAAATTTTTAAATTGTTGATAAAAATAACTAATATATATAGTGTAGTAAAACGTTTAAAATTTTCTGAGAGAATTTAAAATAATTTGAGACTACACCATAACACAATTGTACAATTTGAATGTGTAAATACAACATTATAAATGTATTATAACTACATGTCTATTTCTTTATTTAGTTCTGCCTGTGTATATTTTGTCAAATTTATTTGATAGGAATTGAATATAACCTTTATACCGGCTGATTAACTACCATGCAGTAAAATAACTACTGTTGACACCATTTCCTCCAACGATTTCGCAACGAATTGCCCATACCATATAATTAGAATAAACTCTTTCAATCAATGTTTAAATTTTTATATTGTCATTTATTCTTTCGTTTTTGTTTCTGTACTAATTTTCGTGTCAGATACAATAATTTAGTTTTTAAGTAAATTTTCAATTTCGTAGCTATACACAAACATGCCTACCTGTTGCATTAAAAATTGCATTAATAATAAATAGAAATGAAAAAATTTCTGATGCATCTTTTCACAGGTTTATTTTCAAATTAACTTCACACTAAAATAAATGTAACAATATCCCTATACTCGTTGAATAGAACTATTTTGTTTTACAATTACATATATTTTATTTTATAGACTATTATAATTTATAATATGATGCTATCATGGATTACCATTTTATTATTAAAAGCAATACTTAAGAAATGCACAAGTTTCTGTAACAGTTTATAAAATTTTAGATTTCCTCAAAATGTAAAAATGCAAAACGATTGGATTGAGTGCATCAGACAGGAAATAAATGATTACAAATGGCTTCCATCAAAAAATGCAAGAATATGCAGTGACCATTTCTGTAATAAAGATTATAAGGGTTATGATGGAGAAAGGAAGGTAATGCTGAAGAAAGCATTCCCATGTTTTCAAGTCAGTTGGATTTATATGTCATCAGTTACACAAGGAAGCAATTCACATCATCATTGTATATTGCAACATCATCTATACAAAAAATATAAAATGCATTCACCAATATTCCATGTATTTTATTAAAACTTAGAAAGGGCATAATGACATTGTGAATAATAAACCCTGTTTAGGACTGGGATCATCATCATCATACCAATCACCATTACAAGTAGAGTCAATTTTATATTAATGCTTAACAAGTTAACTAAATTGGCATAATCAAGTTTTTATATGAAATACACATCAAGTATTTAATGTAACAAATAAATTAACGAAAAAATTTCTGGAAAAGTTTAAAAAAATTAGAACATATGACTCTGATCAAAAATCATTCGCGTTGACACTGCATTTGTATGGGCATAAGGCATTATCTTTGGACAAATGGCTTACATCTTCCTCACACTAGGACATTAAGAAAGTAATCTTGTCATACCTGTTCAATAGTTTTAATAAGATTGTTTTAAATAACTATTCTCAATGTCATTTTATTAAAACTACATTAAAAGGTGGCTACAAAACATTGATGGTATGCCTGGGATGATTTCTACAAACCTTATTGACTAATGGTGATGGGGATCCTCTGGAACTGTAGGGTCATGACATTCAATCTAGTCATGGATTGAGAAATCAATCCTTGATATATTTGATAACAAACATTTATTATAATATAAGAATGAAAAAAAGATGTAGGTGTAAGGCAAAATCTTACTGGAACTATTATTTTTAGCAATTTATGATTTATTTTTTCATTTATGACTTTATCCATTTTCAATGATACCGATATTTTTAATTATTATTATCCAAATTATACTCATGCCTATATAAATTAATTTGATTGTGCTATTTCTATGCTTAATTATTTTATTTACTTGCCATAGGTATGCACAGCATTTAATAAATTAATGATAATAATTAATAACACAACATTCTAAGTGCATAAAATATAATAAATTAAAAGTACAATTTTTACAAACCTCATTGGTTATGGTGATGGGGATTCTTTAAAACTGAATGATCATGATCTAACAAGTCATGGATTGATGAATCACTGGAATCACACATTATCTTTAATAAATTTAATAACAACATGTACTACAATTTAAGAATGAGGAATATTTTGTAAAACATTAAATTAAAAAAAATTTAGTTTGAATCACTCACAATTAATAAATTTTAATTAAATTGCAAGTTAGCTTGGGGAGTTTGAAGCTTGAATTGAACAAATTACAAAATTGTTTATTTAATTGTTTATAAAATTGATTGGTAAGTTGTTTAATATATTTATTTAATTTAGTATATTTTTTATTCCCAGACCTAAGCATTATAAATAAAAATTTTAAAACCAATCAAGCAATAGAATTTAGGATCTTAGGAACAAGTGCTGTTAGTCGTTAGCGTAGTAGTAGTATGTATTAATGTAGTAGTTGGTAGTTTCTAGTAGTCTAATCTGTTAATGTTTGTTAGTGTTATCTGTTATTTATTTCAATTAGTAATTAGAATCAGTAGAGATTAGTTTAATTATTTATTAGAGTTTAGTTTAGTAATTTAATTACTAATTAGTCGTCGTTTAGTGTTGTTGGTGGTTCACAAAAAATTTTTTTTATTTAAAATGCAAAAAGATACTTAACCGTCATACAGCAATATCTATCCCAAAACAGCATCTAGTATCACCTTTTAAAACATTTCGAAATTTTAAATAAAAGCATTATTCCGAAATTAGTAAATATACGATCGTAACTTTTGACTTGGGCGATAAAAAATCACCCTCCAATTTTCCTCCGGAAGTAAGCTCCTTGTTCGACCGTCAAAAATGAGCGAAGGCCGTTATATTTATTTTAATTATATGGTACGAAGCATAAAATTCAGGTTATATTTTGATTCAAAATCGTTTAAGGATAGATTGCATTGTCAAGCGTTTTACATTTTATTTATTTTTTTTAAATTCAATAACATTTCAAAAATAACTACTCAAAAAACAGTTTTCCTTTTTTTAGTATTTCGGCTGTTTACATTATGCTGTCGCTAACCAACGAACATGCAGGCTGTATTTAGTTTATTAGTTGCACCGTGGGTGGAGCTTATGAGTCTCTTTAAACTGTTGACTATAAATAAATATTTCTGGAAAAACCACTTTGCCGTCTCCGAGATTACCGTTATGTTGTGTTGTATTGATATTTTCAGACTTAATAATGAAAAAAAAGGACAAAAAAGGACACATTTAAAAAAAAAGGACAAAATTAAAGAAATTGAAGAACAGATTTTAAAAATGACACCAATGCAAAAAAAAGGACTGTCCTCTTAAAAAAAGGACATATGGGAGCCCTAGTAATGAAGTCAGAAACAAGAAACATAGTACTGTCGGTAGAAATGGTTAAAAAAGTCTAAAGGTCTATTACACTCTTCCTAGGTTCACAAGAATCAACAACACTTAACAAACATCGTATATGAACAAACGCTAAGCGAAGCATCACATACGAAGCATGGGATAGGCGGGGATTTTTTTGGTCATATTTTATTCGAAACAGGTCACTGTAGGCTACTAGGCCATCACGCGTCACGCCGCCAAAAAGCGCTATGTCTCGCGCTGCTATTGAGCGGTTGCATGGTTCAAATATTGTTTTGTCTGAAACTAAAAGACTCCTACGCGAATGATGCGTCGTGTAGTGTGGATGTACAGCCTCTGTGACACGAAAGTTTAATTAAAATTTAAGAATAGCGTGTAAGTAGCTGTGCATTTGACAGCTGAATTATAAAAGATGAATACAAAAAAGAACAAATCCATAAATAAATTAACTATCGAAAGTAAGCATTATTATTTGTGTCTGGAAGAATGATGAAATTTTTCTTGTTCCAGTGCTCACGCCAAAAAAGACGACAAGGTTAACATTTTCATCTCATGCATTGCCGTTGCTAAATGACGGCAAAACTGTTTATGTGACGACGGCCCAATAGGTAATCATCGTTCGATATTTATTTTTAAAAGTAAATGCGTTGTGGATGTATTGTATTGTATGCATTGCATTTGACATATAGTTGACAAAATAACAAAATCGCCATGAATTTTTGACCGAAAAAAGAAGAAAACTGAAGTTGTTATCCGGACTTATTGATTTTTATATTTTTTTTCGTCATAAAAATGAATAAAGAAAATTTCAATGACTTTTATGATGGATCGAGATTTTTCTCTTTCCTAACAACCGTATCTGGCCTTCCAATTGATCAGGTTGGTTGTTGGCATGGTATTTATAGTTATATATAATGGTCATAATGTGGGTAAATAAACAAAGTTTAATTATTTAAATAGGAATTAAATTTAATAAGTATACAAAAAGTAAGGTTGTGTGTGTGTGAAATGAAATGAAGTGAAAATGATGCTTGCCTTGTCTTACCTTACCTTACGCTTACCTTACCTTACGGTTATGGTTGTAATGCCTTATTTTACCTTACCTTACCAATGAAATAAAAATTTAAACTTTTAATTTAAAAGATTAAAAATGTAAAAAGAAGCTCTCAAAATCTAAATTTATTTTTATTAACTAACCTAAGAACTGCTGTACAAAATTAAAATAAAAGGTCAAATATTATAATTATTATATTATATTAAAATGTAATATAATTAATAATTTATATATTATATGTAGAATAGAATTTGTATGAGAGATTTTTAAAAATAAATTTGAAGATTTAATTTTTCAAGCTAAACTCAAATAAAAACATGTGAAAAAAGAAACTAATATAAAATTGAAATTATGATTATCTTTATTTATAATTATATTTATTTTTGATAGTATAAGTTTATTATATTTATATATGAAATGAATTTCTAATAATTACAGCTAAAAGATTATCCAATGTGTTTCATATTAATTATGCATAATTTAATGATAAATATACTAATACTTATTTACAAATTATAGATAATATATTTTTTATTCTGTCAGGTAAACTTTTTAGTTTGTCAGTTTTTTATCTTGGTGGTGGCATACTTCTTTAGAACTCAACTAAATGTTGAGCGAGTTGGTCCTAGAGTTCGACATATAACCGAATGTGTGATTGGGTTCACTCTTCTATATTTTTGCTTTGGAAGGTAATAATTTTTTGATGTTTGTTGAAATTAATGTCACCATTAATAATCCAAGTTAATAACGTCCACATATTTGTTGTATCTATTTTTAACCTTGACCTTTAACTTTTTAATTTTTAACTTTAACCTATTTTTAACTTTTTATATCTTGCACGTGTAACTTATTCTCATAAAGAATCAAGTATAAAATAAAAAAGGTTGTGTTGATTTAAATGAGGTATTTTATTATTGTATGCCTTAACCTACTAAATATATCATATCATAATTAGTTAGTAAGTAGCTCAGAGGATGAAATTGCCAAGTCTCATGTTATTCTTACTACCTGGTTTGTATAATATCCGTTTAAAACTGGTGTGGTGCGATCTGGTGCGGTGCAGTCTGGTGGGGCACATACGTCATGTTCAGTAGGTATTACAGCTTTTTGGCACAAAAGTTTGATTATAAGTAAAAAAAAGAGTAATTTACAAGCACCTTTCTTCTATGCTTGTCTGAGCAGTTTAATAGAGAACAAAAATATGTTGATTTTCCATAGTGTGCCATCTTTCACATTTTAATAAGTATGATTAAGGAGAACAAAAATGCAGTAATTATTCTTGTTTTAGAATCATAAATATTTCAAACGGTTGAAAAAATAATTTTTAGCTATTGCCTTTTCTATAATTATAAGAATAATTAAAATATTGCTGGAAATCAATTTAATGTGCTGTGTCATTGCTCGTGTATTTTAGTTAATGTAATTTTCTTTGGTATTTGTTGCACGCCAAAATATGAATTCTTTTAAAATTTTAAATATGGAGATTTTTGATTAAACATTACTTGAAGGTTAAATACAATTCGTTCTTTACTGATAATCTATTCATCCAGGCTTATATAATAAATGTTTACAAGTGAGAGTTTATATTATTATATACCTCAGAACAGTATAACTAATGTCATTTCATTCTTTCTTGGAATTAAAATTAACATAATTGAAAAATGTTTTAATGCATAATTGTAGCTTATGTTTACGATGTTTAGTCACACACGCGCGCGCACACACGCACAGACACACACAAGCTTATTTGTTTGTGTGTGCGCGCGTGTGTGTGTGTTTTATTTTTTCTTATCCTCAAACACTGCATAACTACTTACTTATTTTTCCCAATTTAAAACAATAGAATTTTTTCCCAAAGGAATGTTTACAACTTGTTACCGTTGTTTGTAGCATACTCATATAAGCTTCTCAACATTTTATTTTTTTGATGGATAGACTCCCTCCCAGAATGAGATTTGTATCATTCAACAGCATTGCTAGAGCCCAACTGCAGTGGAAATATATTGCAACTATCTTAATTTTATACTCGTGTCATTATGGTGATAATAAACATATAAATATATAAATAGTATTATAAATATAATTAGACAATGGCAACAGCTAGTAGGCTTTTTTTGATTTATTACTAAACCCATATGTATTTTAAAGAAATATCTGAAACATTTTATGCGTTATGCTTAAATTCAATTATTATTGGTAAATGAATGGAAATATGTGTGGCAGACAATCCATGAGTGAACTAGTGAAATCCATGACTAATAAGCTTGATGTTTTGTGACATCAAGCTTATCCAAATCAATTAAAGTGTTATCAAAACTTTCAGCAGATGTGCTTGGTTGAGTTTCATCGACGTCAAGAATATTTGATTGATTGGATGTTATGGATAAATAGAAAGCTTTCGAAGGCACTAATCAAGGATTGAAAGGCCATAGCCAGTTGCTATAAATCCACTAATTGCATTTTTCATCGTCGCACTGGCCATATATGACTCTATAAAATAGTTCACAAAAATTTTAACGTTTAATGATAACTCCTGAATGCAAACGGGTAAATTTTGAACAAAAAATGTTCCAATTACTTTTCAATGATTTATAAACTGTTCTATCAAGAGGCTGCAGAAAATGAGTACAATGACCTGGTAGGCATAAGAGGACAATTTTTTATTCTTGTGTATATTTCAAGCATTCTATACTAAAATGTGAAGCATGCCCATTCAATATAAGCAGGGCCGCACCGTCGTTTTTTTTGTTGCTGATTAAAATGTTTCATCCATTCCATGAAAAATCTACATCAATCCAACCATTTTTGCTCAATTTTGAAATCTTTTTCACACTCAGAGATGTAAATTTTTCAGTTGTTAATATTTTAATTTTCTCTTACCTTTATCTCCCCATATGCTTTTTCTTGTCATTATTTGCATTTAAATTTAAATATTGATATTGATCCTTTTACTTTCAATCATTTCATTGAAGTAATATTAACAAATAAGAATATTTAATGAAGCAACTTACATGCAGTAGATGGTTTTTTTTTCAAAATTAGCATTTTTAGAATATAATATATGCACACTTAGTGTTTATTTTTATATGTTTGTGTGCATCTGCTGTCCATGTGCACGTGTGTTTCTGTGCCTGATTTAAATTATTTATTGATCAGTTTGTTTAATTTCTGGGATGAATTATTAATGAATTTATTTGTATAACTGCCCAGAGGTCTCATGCATGTTGTACTCCAAACATTCATCTGTTGGGTGGTGATGAAAGTTTTCAAATATGGCCCGATGGAGAAAATAGTTCTGGGGTCCGCTGTCAGCTACCTGTGCATCACGCACATCTACCGAATGATCTATGACTACGGAGGCTTCACTCTTGATATAACTGGGTTGGTGTTAAATAACTAACTTTAGATGCATGAATGGAACAAAAAATTTTTCATAATATTCTAATGACATTTTTTAGCTACTAGTCATTTTACCAGTTTTTAAAAGTTTGGTACTCCATAAGTGTTTTTACCGAGTTTAGCAATAAGAAGTTGAGAATTAAAAACTTGAACTGATCAGGCCACTGATGTTGAGTACTCAGCGCTTAAGTAGTTTGGCGTTTGGACTGGCTGATGCTGAGAAGTTGAAGAAGGATGTCAAGATGGTCGACAACTTGAAATCAAAAGTCGTCCAGTTGGTTTAATTTTTTATTTTATTTATTTATTTATTTATTTAAGAGTAAATTAATAAATTCTAAAAATCTGTTTCTGATTGCTTGAGTAACAACTATGTCAATCTTAGAATTTCATATAGAGCGTTCATTGGTCATAAAATTTTGTGCTGGTTAGGTTTTTTATATTAGGTTTTGTAGTTAAATTAGTTTTTGTGGCTTAAATCTGTCATTTTTTGCCAATAAAATTATTTCTTCATTTTCCAGCAAATTTCCAAGTGTTCTTGAATTTTTGAGTTTCATGTTCACCTTCCATGGCGTAATGTGTGGGCCAGTCTGTTTCTACTCAGATTACATCAAATTCATTGAGGGTACAGATTATGATTCAAAAGCACAACTAAAACAACAAAACGGAAATGTAACAACAACATCAACTGCTCATAAATCTGATGACAATCGTCATAATGATAAAATTGTGGTAGCTAAAAATGGCTTTAAAATGTTTGATGGTAGTGAAAAGAAGAATAATCACAATCTGCAGAACCATCTTCCTACTAGGCCATCTCCCATGGTTGACTATTTTTTATTCATTTTAACTTTTTATCTGATATTGATAATTTTATTCGTCATATTCTTTTTTACTTTTTAATTTTTTATATTTTAAAACATTTTTTTTGTGACATTGATTCACGCCATGCTGGTTACATTTATAATTACTTCATTTGTTATTTCTATTCATTCATATTTACTTTCCCTTAATCATGAAAGGAAAGTAATAAATGGTTGACCCGCATGGTGCTGTGTTTAAATTCCCCCCAGTAGTTAGTTTTTATTCCTCAACCTTATGCTTTCATCAAACTTGTGTACCTACTATTGTTGTACATTTGATCGTGTCCAATATTAACTCATGCATTTATGTGGGTAGATTTTTGTTTTTTTGAATTCTGATGCACCTGTTTGTGGCTTACATCTGCGTGGTTAATTTTTTTTATAAATTTCGTATAATGCAGCCCTTTTACGGGCAGAGTTTGTGAATTTGCTATTGAGAAGCTGTATAAAAGCTGCCTAAAATACTTTATCTTGAATTTCACTCATTTTTTCAGTAAATACATAGGCTACTGCAATACATTTGGTTCATTTTTGTATCATGTTTTGGCAATTAAAATCTACTAAATATTGAATTGATTTTTAAACACCTGTACCTGGCGCCTCACTCAAATTACTCATTGTCTTTTAAAAAGTCAAACAAAATTAAATGATTGGAGTTATTTTAAGTCAGAGTGTAATAACTTGGAATTAAGCCATTTAAATAATACAGTTGTGATGACGTTTGCTCTATATAAATGTATCCATGATTGCTTGCGTTGAATTATCATACAGTTGCAAAATGTGGTTTGAAGGTCCTATGTAAAACTGGATTGTTGCAAAGTTTATGCTATTAGAATTATGTCACTGTTGTAATTTCAGTGAATAAATTAAAAGGTAAAAAGTCAAAACGTTTTGAATGTGCAGCCAAATGTATGCAAATGTTTCAACTTTTTATATACAAATATTACAACTTTTTATATTCAAATATTTTATCTTTTGTGCTGTAACTTTCCAATTGGTTATGACTCAAAATTATAAAGTGAACTAACTGTTTGATGTTTGCGTTATTAATCTTGTTTAATGAATGAGTAAATATCAAATATTGATAATATTATTTCAGCCTGTGATAAGAAGAAAGTTGTTGCTAGCTGGTCTCTTCGGTGCTTCAACAATTATATTGTTGCCCCTCGTTCCAATCAGCTTGGTCACAAGTATGTATGTTTTGCGGTTCAAAATATTCTGATGCCACCGAAATTTAGCTTACAAATTATGACAACTTATTTGATGAACCTCTTTTTTAGAGAATGATATTTGAAATGCAGAATTCAAAGATACTACTAACCACCGACAGGTCCCGAGTATGCCACTTACAATTTCTTCTACAAGGTCTTCCTCATTGTTCTCTTCACAGCCCTCCAGAGGCAAAAGTACTATTTTGCATGGAAGCTTGGTTTGTTTGCTTTCACTTAATATTTATGTTTTATGTTCACGGTGCTAAACTTGTTTTGGTACTCGTTTTTAATAATGCTATTTTGTCTACTCTTAGCATTACAAACAAACAGTACTCAACGAATACTACTTCAGTTTCCAGTTACTCTTAAATTTTATTTTTGCAAGTGCAATGTTTTTCAATTGTACCATTCCCTGCTTATTTTGCATTTGAAATTATTTCATCAGCACAGACAGATAGATTACTTTTTTGTATGTACCCTTGCACCGAATGTTTGGAGATTAATACCCCCATCATTTTATACAACTTGCTATTGTAGTAGAAGGACAGGGTGAAAGCGGGGTTGCGTGAAACTGAGGCGAGTGACAGATGTGGATGGCGTCGAGGGTTATTTCGGTTTCATCATAGGTAGCCAAACGGCAACTCCCGATCTCGGGGAAAATGTCGTCTAAACGTGTGTTGTTGTTGTTATTGTAGTTTTCTTATTTTCTTTTATTTGCTACTTCTGCTTTCTATTATGACATCTCATACAGATTTTGTATTATATTTTTTGTTCTTTATGCAAAAGATTTTTGAACTAACGTTCTACTAAGACGCTGATAAATAAGCAAAGGTTTTTGTTTGAATAAACATTGTTTTGATAAAAACATGATTTTCATTGATGTGATTGATGTGATGTTTAAACAAATGTAGAATTGTTCAGTGATAAAAAGCTTTCATGAAGTTTTTGTGATATAAGATGACTTAGCATTATCAGCACTAATTGTTTCAAAACAAATTTTATGACATTTTTTCAAAGTTGTGTTGAAGTCCATCTCGTACAATGCATACATAGATTTTTTTATCTAACCTTACAAAAGGAGAATATTTAACATATTCAAACACAATCATTTCTTTCTTCAAGGCATGCTTTCTCGTTAACATAGCAGAAATTACAATTGTATAGAATTTGTACGAAACTTTCTACAATATTAAGTTTTTTTGCTTGCAAATGAAGCTACAAAAGTAAATGTATAAAAATTTTCATTATTGCAAGTGAAATATGTTACAGGTGGCAATGAATTTTTCCCTATGTATTCATATTACTTTTTGTCTACCTACCTATGATATTTACGTGTTCATATTTTAGTTTTAATTCGTAAGATAAATAAACATATTCTGAGTAATCTTTGATACGTTTTTGCTAAAAATCCATCTGAAACTGAAAGCACAAGCTGTGGTTGAATTAGTTTGGTTAAGATTTTGAGGATTATTCAGATATTTTTGTTTTCGACTTTCAAACATTACTCATGTATCTTTTTTAACCAGTAGAATGAAATGCTTCAAGTGTTTGAGTATAGTTAGTTGATAATAAATAACTTTTGTTGACTTGAACTGGATAAAACAGTACAGTGCTATGTCATATGCTGGTTTGTTAAGTGATTTAGTTAGAGTGACTCGGTTGAAACGTAGGAAGGAACTTGACTGTAATATTTTAAATTGTAGAATGCAGTTTGTTTTACGTATGTGGTTTATTACTGGCTCCAATCTATGTCGTGCAATAAAATGTTTATTAGCACGTAGAAATGAACTCAATCAATCACAAGCTTAAAACATGAGAGAAATAAATTATTCCATTTCATAATTATAACAAAAGAGTTCCGCATTTTGTCATAATGTTGATAAAGAGATCTTGTTAATCATTAAAATAATATATGTATGTTTATTAATCATTTAAACTATGTAAATCATCATGCCATTGCATTACAGGTGAGGCAAGTAACTTGAATGCTGGTTTGGGATACAATGGAGTTGATGAGCATGGAAACAGTAGATGGGACCTGATTGCAAATGTTGATGTTCTCAAAGTTGAGGTATGCTGGGTGTTGTTACTTGATGTACCTGGAAATAGGCTGTTTGTTGTTTGTGTGTTGTAAGTTTGTTCAGTGTGGTTATTTCCGTAAAATATGTGTGTGTGTGTGTGTGTGTGTGTGTGTGCGCGCGCGTGTGTGGTTCTTGTCAATCTGATGACAAATGTCATGATTATGATATGACCTCACATGTCATTCAAAGGCACTAATAATTCAGCGGGATGCACTTTCGAACATTCACGTGTTGTTTGAAATCAAAGTCTTCGTTATTCATTATTTTTGTTGTTGTGTGACAAGGTAATGAAATTCTTGTGTGAAAAGTCATGTATTTTTAGCTCTGATATCTGATTTCAATGGTTGTTGTTAATAATTAACGAAAAAATTAACGAATTGTCGAAAAAATTAATGAATATGAAATAGATTTCACAAATATTTTGTGAAATAGCGCGCATAAACGTAGATAGCTCTCGTTATCAAAATTTAATCTGCGAAAGTATTCAAAAAATTTCATACCAATTTTATCTCCATCTTATCAAGTTCTCCACCAGTTTGAAAGTTCTGATTGACAATTGGAACATTTCAACAGCCTGCTGGTTGAGGTACATAATATATGATCGACTGCACAGCATCGTACCTGTCTTCCTGTTTAGTGCTCTCTGGCATGGTTTCTATCCGGGCTACTACATCACATTCATCACTGGAGGACTCTTCATAAGCACAGCCAGATTGGTTTGATATTCTTTTTTTTTCCATTTTCATTTGTCAATAATTTCTTTTTCGTTTTTCGGTGTAATTTAATTTTAGTTATTTTTTCCATCACTAGCTATCAAAATATTTATGTTAATCTATACAATTACCGTGAAATTTTTCATCTTTTTGTTTCAGATGAGAAAAGTCGTTAGACCACATTTTCAAACTAGCCCTACATTGAAATTCATTTACGACGTTGTAACCTTTTTGGCAAGTCGACTGGCGGTGTCATACCTGGGTCTCCCCTTCCTCGTTCTTGAGTTCTGGGCCTCCTTCTACATCATCAAGTTGGTTTCCTCTTCTCTCTTCTTCGTTTTTAACTTTTAGTGGTTTTTGTTTAGAAGTTTTCGTCACCTTGAAGTTTTTGTATTTTTAAAAACTTTTTTTCAGTATTTTTTACTTTGGATATTTTTTTCTATATTACAAGTACGTTCGTTTGTCTTGCGGTAATTTTAAAACAGTAATTACGAATGAATGAATGGGTGGATAATGATTGTATAGTGATGAATTGTATAGTAATTACAAATGAATGAATGGGTAGATAATGATTGTATAGTGATGAATTGTATAGTAATTACGAATGAATGAATGGGTGGATAATGATTGTATAGTGATGAATTGTATAGTAATTACAAATGAATGAATGGGTAGATAATGATTGTATAGTGATGAATTGTATAGTAATTACGAATGAATGAATGGGTGGATAATGATTGTATAGTGATGAATTGTATAGTAATTACGAATGAATGAATGGGTGGATAATGATTGTATAGTGATGAATTGTATAGTAATTACGAATGAATGAATGGGTGGATAATGATTGTATAGTGATGAAAAAATCTATCGACGTAATATAACGTTTTACATTAAAATATTTACTTACATCTATTCCAATATACTGGATCATAAATGTCAACAAAGTGTTAAAAAGTTTTTGGCAGTCAATGCATCTCACTTCTGATATGGTTGTTATTAAATTAGAAGAGGTGCAGTATCATTGAGTATGATGGATGACTCATGAATATTAGATTTTTGTTTCAACATTTTGTAAATTTTATGTAGTATAATCTGTTTTGTGTTTATTTTTTCACCATTATTTTAAAAATGATTTTAAATAATCACATAGGGAGGTGTATTTCTTCATGCACATTGTCGCTGGCATGATAGCATTGACACTTCTCTTTGTCAAGTATCAACAAAGCAAGGGCAGCAAAGTCAAGCTTGCTGTTAAAAACATTGACAACCTATCTAACAACATCAACAACATATCTAATAACATGAGCAACGTGTCTAACAACGTCAGCAACTTGTCTAACAACGTGTCTAACAACCTGTCCAGCAACGGCAGAGCAGCATCTTTATGCAGGTAAGAATAATGCTGCTGATAGAAGCCACATCAATCGCAACATTGCTTCTGATCAAAAGAAAACATGATGAAAAATATCATTCATAATTCATCCATAATTCATGATTCATTCACCGCTACATTCATTCACCTTTCACCACTAATCTAGATTTTCAGCCTGTGTTTTTTTTTCTTTAATATTTTAAAAAATAAAGTCAGTGAAATGAAAACATCAATCATATTGTTATGACTTTGTTTATTGTTAATTTAACGATGATGCTTTGAGGCTTTTATATTTATTTGGAGTTTTAACGAATGCATTTGTTGCTTTCTATTTTTTTAAAAAAGTAACTGTGAAGTGATTTCATGCATTTTAAAAAATGCAAATTTTCTATCTCTTCATTTTAATATTTATGATTCAAATTATATTAAATTTTGATTTTATTTTTGATAAGACAATTTGAATAACTTTTTTTACCTATCTGTACAGATTTACTTTATTGAAACAATACAATGATCTTAATGTTTGAATGCATGATGGTAATTAGCAACTGATATATACATCTGCTGTGCACGTCTGTAGCAAACACTAAATGATTAATTAATCAAGGTGCAATGACCATTAAGTCTCAACTGCTTTTATCGTTATCATGGTTCTATATTTTTATATTCAAACGAATTCAATTATACCTAATTTTAGACTGTTTTTTGATTTTATTGTCACTAGTGTGTACAAACTTATAAATATATATAAAAATATATATATATATAGTATGCTAATTATAATAATTACCATCATGTGTGTATATATATATATATATATATATATATATATATATATATATATATATATATATATATATGTATATATATATATATATCCGGGCGTGTTAATATATTTTCCTAAATTAACTTAAGTTTATTTGGCAGCTTGTTTGAACTGAGTCATATGCAACTTGTGGTAATGAAATCAAGCAAGCAACTAATATTTATTTAATGATGATGTATACGTAACTTGTATGTTTAGATTTATTTACTAATGTATATTTATTTGTTTAAAAAGCTATGAGAACGCCTCTAAACAAAGATCATGATTTGTTCGTTTTAATTTTCTACTAAACATTAGAACAATGATGGTTTGCTATTTTTGTAAACTTTTTAAACTGTCCGTATTAAATTCTTTTAATTTCATGTGCCGGCTTATTAAGTTTTTATTCAATTATTTTACTGTTAATCTCTGGACTGTTCGTTTCACGTTTTGCTCCTTTGTTCCTGTCACGTTTCCCATTCCAGATCGTCACATTTAATGTAATCCGCACCGGAAATTGTTCCCATTAATATGTTAGTGGCACATTCATACACCCACGCTCAAACACACACACACTCACTCACACACACACATTTAACGCCTACTTTCATGGAAGTTCATGAACATACTCGTATTTTCATATCACCTGATTCGCTTTTGTAATTTATAATTTTTAATCTTCAAGTGTTTTATTTTTATTAGTTACTCATCTACTTAATATGAAATTATTTCAAGCACGCGATTCATGTGTTCTCAAGTTATTGAAATTTGATTTGTAGTTTGCTTTATACTGCGCACCAGTTATTATTTTTATTGTTAAGTACTTCTAAGTTGGATATTTGATATTTAATACTCATTGCAAGTTATTTAAAATGAATCTGAAAAACATGTTACATCACAAATGACCCTTTCAACATCATGCTTGTTTGTTTGTTCGTTTCATTCTCTCTTTCTATGATTTTAAAATATTTCCCCCTCTGGCCCGAGCAAGTTATAGTTTGTGAGTGGTCCTTCCATAGTCAGCCTCGTCAACCTGGTACAACCTCAACTGCTTAAGATGGATAGCAATTTTGACCCTCAATTATGACGAGGCTTACTATGGAAGGACCACTCACGAACTATTACTTGCTCGGGCCAGGAATCAACATCTTCAATCAAGGCAGCGAATTTAGCATCCACACACAGACGAAATGAAGTTGACTGTTCATCATTTTGTTGTTTAGCAACGTTATCAGCTTTTTTAAATGCAGGAAAGCAGGAAATTGTATCAATTCCAATTAAACGTAGATGTTCAATAATGTTGTCGTTTGTACATCTGGTGGCGTTTCCTACGTGATAAAACTTTTTTTATCATTATTTTATTGGCAGATATTTTAGAGTTTTCAGGAGCTCTTTTTCCTATTATATTGTTGACAGTAGGTTTTTTTGTAGATATAAGTGGATGTAAATTCATTGAATAGAAGCTATTTATAAAATATGTTGATGAGTTATTAATATCAGACACCAATATGTTTAAATTGAAGTCTCCTAAAATATAGATTTTTTTGCAATTCAATTGTTTATAATTTTTAATTATGTTAGAAATAGAAATATTGATTTACAATAGATTATACAATATAAATACGCAAACCTGAATCAATTTTACATTGCCAGAAATTACTTTTTATGGAACCCTTGAATGGTACACGCACATACAGATTTAAAAAACAATCCGTATTACGTAGAAAACGTTAAATTTTGTTATTTGTTCGTTTGGTCACGGAGAAATTATTTTATATTGCAATTATGAAATATTCCTTCTCGCCTAAGTCAATGAAATCTGTTTACGATATTGAATCTGAAGTTGAACAGGAATGATGGGTGGAGATTAAAAGGGAAAAGTAATAAAATAGATGGACAAGATAGAAAGACAAATAATTGAAATAATACTTATACCACCGAGCGTTGTAACATTAATTTCAATGAACGGGTGTTTAAAATTGGCCAAGAAGTTTATCTATCTTTAGTGATTTTGTAAAAAAAAACTTCAGTGAATATAAGTTTTTATAGAACTTTACGTTTTTTTCTTTATTTCTTTATTTATCCTTTGCGCTTTCATGCGTACAAAAATATATTAATGTAATATAATTAATTAAAGAACCTACAAAATATTTTGACTTAGTGCCTTCCGAAATAAATTAACTTATTTCTAGAAGAGGCCCAACTTGATTTTCAAATTAACAATGATTCACACTGCATTAAGTTTTTTTTTCGATGGCATCATCATTCCTGAACTATTATAAGGCTTGATCTCTTTGAGAAATGAAAGCATTATAGAAGTTATAAATGAACAAATATTATAGAAAATGCATTCAAACAATAATCGAAAGATTTTTTCCTAACTGAATTTTCTAGTGGTTTTTTGAAGTGAAGTAGCAGTTTTTTTAAAATTTTTGTAACATTTCGTTTTGAGTTATGAAGGACGAAACAAACCTGAACTGGCTGTGTTTCTTCCTTTTTTAGAGCCATTCATAAATTCATTTTCACCTATGCATAAATTTATTTCATATTCATCGGTATCGGACTATGTGATTTTCAAACTTGTCATATAAAGTTATAGAAAATTTATTTTTGACGTTACGCTTTTACCATCTGAGAAACAACGATGATGCATGAACAGCTAAAACATTTTGTATAAACTTCAATGTACAGTACTTCTGAAAACCGAGAAAGTGGATGGACTATATTGTAGATTGTTTTTATTGAGTTGGTCTAGTTGCTTATTGATCTTACTACTCGTAATTTATATACCATTCATCTATTTTTATTTTCATTACTAGAAAAAAATCACATAATTTCGATGTAAAATAGTATTTCGTGCTAATTCTGTTTTTGACTATCCCGTTAGAAGACAAGCTTTAGATGTTTGCCAGGTTGCAGCATTTATACGGTGAACAAATTAATGTTTGTGTCTTTTATATATGTTATTTCAAATTATCTCTTCCTAAAGTTTTTTTTAGATTATGTTTATGTTCCATTCAAAATTTTCTGCCCTTATGTATTAAATTGATACATTAAACATCGAAAAACTCGTGTACTGTCTGTCCTTAAAATTCAATTTTTAATCCTTACCAACGTTAACTAGAACATTTAATAATACACGCTAAACAACTTATACGAGTTATATATATATATATTTATATATACATACACAACTCACTCGCATATAGACTACCGCAATAGTCGGTTCTATGGTTTACCTGAAAAATCAATGAAGTTACAATCAATTCGAAATCGTGCTGCTAGAGTTGTTTCAGGGGCGCTTAGATTCGACAGTATATCTCTAATTTTAGAACAACTTCACTGGTTGACTGTCAATAAGCGTATTATTTTTAAATGCATCAAAAACCAAGCACCAAAATATCTGACAGACGATAACACCCAGAGCACTAAATTCAACATATCTACGTTCCAATGAACTGAACTGCCCAATTTTACATATGAGTCAGTTGACAATAGGATCCCGAAACTTTGCTATTTTTGGTCTTAGAATTTTGAACAGTCTTCCAAACCATTCTATATCGATGCATTTACGTGATCCGAATTTGATAACACATAGAAAAACTCATTTATTTACATTATACGCTCTTCATTATTTGATAAAATTTAAATATTTTGTAATTTGCGCTAAATAAATATTCATAATTAAATATAATTTAAACATATATATAGTTTAAAAATATCACAGAACTCCAGGCACTGTTCAATTTGCAATTGAGTTTTTCAATTTTTCGTACCACGAATTTCAGTTTATTATCGAGTTTGTTCATATAAACGAAAATGCAAAAAGTGAATAAAAATTTGGTTCATGAACTGAACAAACTTGATGATTTGTTGAAAAATTGAAAAAGTCAATTGCATATTGAACAATGTCTGCAAAGCTGTAATATTTTTAAACAACTGCATATCACACGGTCTGATAACTGCCCAGCTCGCCACTCTTTGTTACGCGGGCACCGGCCCTTTTAATTTAAGATTTGAGACATTTGCAGAGGAATAACATAACAACGATTAAAAATGTGAGCATTTTATATAAGGCAGAGTATCGTTGTATTGCTAAGTAAACACAAATCAGTAAAAATTGAACAAGTGAAAAATCTAGCAAATGGTAGTGGGTCTTGTGAAAAATTATGTATACCGTAGGAAGAATGGATGAATTACTGAATAATTGAAAAACTAGAACATTATCTGTGAGAAGTTCACATGAAAGCAACAAAATTTAACAAAAATCTAAAAATTAAATTGTAATACTAATGCATTTACTAATTAGCAAAAATTGGATACAACAAATCAAGCCAAAATATGTTAAAATTTTCTAAACTGATAATGACGGTGAAAAAAACATGTTCTATTCAACAAATGAAAAAAAAGTACAATAGTGAATTTTACTTTAGGTAGATAGTAAAATTTTTACTGAACTTACAAAGAAAAATATTATATTAATACAAAAAATTTAATGGAAAAAACCTCCACATGATTCTTTATTTACATAGACGACAGTAAAGTTGGTAAAGGTAGAGTTTTTACTGACAAATATTGGCCGTGAGATCTTTCTGTAGACGAAATTATAATCGTAATATTAAATAAAATATTGTGAATAATTAATATAAAATAATAAAAACAAACTAAATAATGTAAATAAATGTAAACAAAGGTAAACTAACAAGAGGTTCGAGTTCCTTCTTATCAACCAGGTTGTATTCGTTGACAAAATAATAAAAATGTTTGTAACATGTATTGACGTGTGGTTCCTGAAATTGTGGAATACAAATTTTACTTTGAATTGACTGTGAACACTTGGAATTTCAAAACATTGCATCATATTATCAATTTTTCAGTCAATCTCGAGCTAGAAAGCCAAATAGAAATTGATGATTAACTTATCTACAACTAAATAAACACAAGTGGCTGTAAAATTAAAAAAAAATGTTAACTATCAAAACTGAAGTACATTTAAAATGCAATGACTATAACAACTGAAATAACAATTTAGAAATATAAAATAACATGATGATAACAAAATTATCTAATTTAAAAGAAAGTTGGGTGTAATAACAAGATGCGCAAATTAGGAAACTGAATAAGATATATATATATATATATATATATATATATATATATATATATATATATAAGCACAAAGACAGAATTATAGAAAATATAAAAGTTTACTAGTTAGTGAGCTCAACAGTTCAAAATTAATTCACATGGAACTTGAAAAAATACTCACAGCTCCAATGGTTTTGAGCTTATCAAAGTGGTGTATGTAAATATGTACAAAGACTCTAAACAAACGTGTCATGATCTTTTTGACACTTGATATATAGTTCTTTGGAAATGATACACCTTGTAGGTATAAAATTATTGTAATCAATCAATCATTCCAATAAAAACAGCTAAATTAGGAGATCAACAACCATCAAAAACATTGTTTATAATCTAAGATGAACACAGGATGAAAAATTCCAAACCAGTTTCAACAGGGAAGAGTTCTTCATTGTTTATTTGACTTTCTACCCACTCCATCAGCTGTTCAGTGTACTGTGGGGCAGAAAGGCGTGTAGGCTTCTTGTATTTTATACCATCACACCAATGATATTCATACCTGCACCAAATTGGAATAAATATGAATCTAATAATAATTTATAACAAGCAGCAATAGTGACAATCAGATAAATGATAAAAAAATTCAAAAATTAACTGTTGGACAAAAAGAATATTACAATATTTCCACATTCAAATAATACAACATGACTAACTTGGGACCGCCTGACATTGTTGGACATGATTGTTCAGTGCAAAAATCTGCGATCACCCCAGATATAACATTTATTCGGTTGAAGAAATCAACAACTGCATAAAAATTTTAATGTTGTTTAAATTTTGTTCTGAATGAATAAACTTAGTTTTGTTATATAAATAAAATGCATTTAAATCATATAGAGTAAATTATTAAAAGACCCAAACAAACAAACATACACACCATGTACAGCTATCCAGTCATTCAACTCTTCTTCCGGAGGTAGTTTAACAACCTTAACACGTTTAATTAAAATAAAAATTTATAGATCAAATGAAATAAATCAAAAAAATTCAATCAAAAACAACTCAAGTTAACCAATAATTTGAAAAAACAAACAGTGGTACAATATTGGTATAAAATAAACAACAAATAATTTAAATTTAAATTAATGTTTAATAAAAGATTTTCAACCTGTTTAAGATCAAGGCCTGAGTGTAATGAGGCATTGGCTTTCCTATGAAGATTGAATCTAAGTGTGCCTTCCTGTAAATTCTTCTTGGTTGGCCTAAAAGTCTGAAAATTGTAAGGGATTAGATTAGCATATTTAAAAGTAAAGTTATTAATTTAACTATGTGAGATTTTAATACTATTTCATATTATTGTTTTTTGGACATTTAAATTATTATCACATATTAGATATGAGCACATGGATTTTAATCAATGCTCATTATTTAAATGTTATGTTAAATGTTATGTTATAGTAGAGATTTGTACTATTGTTGAAGTTTAATATTTAAAACTAACAACTTACTGTCTCAAATTTCCTAATGAAAAATTAATAATCATTGAGAAGAGACAACACTATACTCTCCTGACATACTGACTGAATACAATAAAGATAAAGTTCCATACAAGTTCACCTCAAGTAATTAAAGACAGTAAGAGAGTATGTAAATAAAAATAAAGTAAACGATTTGAAATAGAAGAATAGAATAGAAAAAGAAAATTACAAAACTTGGACATTGAACAGTTCTATTCAAAACACTTGTTTTTCAGTAACTCTACTGAAGTCTCTAACACTCTAACTTCTAACTAAATTAAATTTTAAATTAGGCAAAATAAATTAAGTAAAACTAAAAACTGTAAACTAAAATCTAATTCTAAGTAAGTGAATTTTTAATTTAAAATATTAATATGTTAAAAATTATGAATTTGTTTTAAAGTTTTTATCTAATTATTATTATTTTAAAGTTTATTTATATTAATCTATTTATTTCAGTTTATTTAATTTTCATTAATTTATTTAGTAATAAATTTATGAATAAAAAAAAATTAAAAAGAAGATTTGAAATTTAAATGAAAAACTTTTTATAACTAACTTTATCACGAGAAAAAAATGAAGCAAAACCCGAAGCCATGATTCATTATAATAAATAAATAATACTGAAAATTTGAAATAAAGAGGTGAACTCTTAAACTGAACTAGAACTAGAACAGAAAACGAAAATGCCTCTCAAACTAATGAACCACTAAGAAACCGGACACAAAACATCACCGGTGCTAGCTGTCCTTATTATCGTGATGTACTCGAGTCGAGTCAGTAACAATATATCCGTATTTTTTATAAATTTTATTTTTAAAATAATACTGTTAATTTTAATATTAATTTTTTATATAGTTATTTTACATATATACCTTAACCATAGATTTAAAATATTTATATTATGTATTTCTTAATTTGAATCTTTGAAGCTGCCTCGTCCCTTATTTCTTCGATTCTAGCTTTGTTCGGTCTCAAAGATGGATCGACGGAGAATGTTGTATTGTATATTTAGAAATTGAGAGTAATAAGTATAGTATTGATTAAAAATTTTTTTATTTTATGATTTATTCGTTAATTTTGATTAAAATACTAACATTCAAAATTGTGTTAAGTGTTTTAATTATAGTTCAGTGTTTATTATTGAATATTTAATTTTAATTCACTTGATAATTTTTGAATTTTACTATTAATTATTCCCTATTCGTTTCGTTTGGGTTGTGTTGGGGCTACCAAACCAGGGAGAGAAGAGGTGCTCGTCGTCGTTTTCCTTATTAATTTTTCTTAACGGCCACCATGTCTTATCATAGAAAGCGGCGTCATGAGGAGATTCAGGCAGAGCATTACACAGTTTCCAGTGATGACGAGGTGGCTACGACATCTCAGAAACTTACCAGCTCCTCCAATTCAGATGGTGACTATCAGTTGCTTCAACATGAAGTTCTCTACTCAAACAGTGGATCGACTTACGAAGTACTTGAATTTCTTGGTAGGGGCACATTTGGTCAGGTAGTGAAATGTTGGAAAAGAGGAACTAGTGAAATTGTCGCAATTAAAATTTTAAAGAATCATCCATCGTATGCTCGCCAAGGAGAGATAGAAGTTAATATATTGAGATGCTTAGGCCGAGAAGATGCAGATGATTGTCATTTTGTGAGGGCTTATGAATTTTTCAAGCACAAAAATCACACTTGTCTAGTCTTTGAAATGCTGGAGCAGAATTTGTATGATTTTCTTAAGCAAAATAAATTTCAGCCTCTACCTCTAAGACATATTAGGCCAATTGCAAGACAAGTCTTAACAGCACTCTTGAAATTGAAGACTCTAGGATTGATACATGCAGATTTGAAGCCAGAAAACATTATGTTAGTTGACCCACTACGATATCCATACAGAGTGAAGGTGATTGATTTTGGATCTGCAAGTCACATATCGAAGGCTGTTTGTTCTACATATCTGCAGTCAAGATATTATAGAGCACCAGAAATATTATTAGGTCTTCCATATACAGAAGCCATTGACATGTGGTCCCTTGGTTGTGTTATTGCAGAACTTTTTCTTGGCTGGCCACTCTATCCTGGATCATCTGAATATGATCAGATTAGATACATCTCTCAGACACAAGGATTACCTCCAGAACATATCCTGAACAATGCAACAAAAACTAAAAGATTTTTCAATAGAGAAATTTGTGAAACACATTATCCATTCTGGAGATTGAAAGTAATATTATAATAATATTTCATATAAAAAATTTTTATACTTTATGTTAATTATTTTTTGAAAATATTTGTTGAAATCACTTTAACAGTCACCTGACGAACATGAAATGGAAACAGGCATCAAATCAAAGGAAGCTCGCAAATATATCTTCAACTGTCTAGATGATATGAGTCAAATAAATGTCCCCACTGACATTGACACAAATGAACTTATTGCAGAGAAAGCAGACAGATTTGAATTAGTAGATTTGTTGAAAAGCATGTTGGCACTGGATCAGGACAGAAGAATAACCCCTGGAGAGGCACTTGAACATCCATTCCAAACCATGTCACACCTCATGGACTATGCTCACTGCAACATGTTAGCCTCATAAGAACTTAATTATTTACGTGATGACTGAGATTTTTAATTAATATCCGAACTTTTTTATTAGTGTCAAGCAAAGTCTCCATGCAATTGAAGTGTGTCGCAAATCCAAGAAAGAGTCGTATGATTTGAATAACTTTTCTGGAATCCGAGTGATGACTAACTTCCTACCTAATCTATGCAGCAACAGGAATTTCACACTGACATTCAAGAATCAACTCAATGCTCTGAACCATGTAATTGATTTTTTTACAGTTTATATTAATATTCGATATATCCTTAGATAATTATTTAAAACAATTGGTGATTGTGAATGCTTATTTTGAAATGTTCTTAATCACCGTTGAAGGTGCAGGCTCCGTTGATACCAGGGGGCAGTTCATCCCACCAGTCCGATGCCATGCAGTATTTACATCAGCCACTCCCTCATCACCAACTTCACCAGTCACAACCTCCATTTGTTCCATACCAACCGACCCAGTACCAATCGCACATGGCTAATGTACCTGCCCATCTGAACACTTCCAACAACAACAGTGATCCGTTTCAACCTTCACTGTGTAAGTTTTTCTCTATTTTTTTTCTCTTCTATCAAATAATCATATTCAAATGACCTGATGCAATTAAACAAACTTTATCTAACTGTTTATAAATACTTGGTCCAAATGATTCACAATGTTTGATTCCAATATAGGCTTACAAATTGATGATGGTTTTGTTTTATGGTTAGCTGTGCTATTAATATCTTGGTTACATTGGATTGATTCATTTGAACAGATTTATCCTCCCCACCAAATCCAACTTATTCATTGAGACTTGATAACGTTGTTCCCGTGGTGGCCAGACCATCTCAAACTCTTCAGTTAATCGCTTCCGTTAGTAATGAATGCTCTTTTATTCAATAATGAATTATTTTAGATCTTACTTATTTATATTTTATGAAAGATGTTAAAGAATCACTAGAAATTATTTCAAGAGCAATAAATTTGTATTGTCACAGAATTGGTCGGGTCAGCAGCAATTTTTGGTGCCAACTTGGAGCCAGTTGTCAGGAGGACAGAGAGGTTTGCCACCTTATGATCCTTGGCCATCTGCATTTAATGTAGACCCCCTTGATGCTTCTGCTTTCTCTTTTGTTAGTTTGTTTGCTCTTCTTTTAAATTCATTTTAATGAATATTCCATAAATGTTAAAAACGATTTTAATGCTTAATTATACTTTTATGCTACCAGGGAAACCCGACCAACAACTCTAACAGCAGTCACAACAACAGCAACAGAACTGGAGGTTCCAACAACCAGTCAAACAACAGGACACGTCATGGATCATCCAACAATAACAACAACGCGTCCTTCCAGAAAATGCCATCCATTTGGAACATCCCAATCCACAGCGACAACAATCCTAACCACACCAACAGCAATTACATGAATAAAGGAAGAAATTCTCCTTCTGCATCAATTTCTAAGCAGGAGTTCAAAACGTTAGTTCATCTGTTATTAAACTTGTTCAGAAATTTTTCCAGACAGCTTTGATATTTTGCGAATATTACATGCTAAGTGATGTAAAACTATTGTCTCATCATCCAGCAAGATTATAACCCCTCCGAAGAAACGAATTAGAGTGACTGACATTTCCTCGGACATCTCTTCATCCAAATTCAAATTTAATAACAGTGGCATCTACGATAGTAGCTGCACCACAAAGAACAGCAGCAGCCACATGAGCAAGGAGGGAGGTGGGGGTGGGGGAGGAAAGTGTTTTGAAACAGAAAGAAGTTCCACCGGACACAGTGTTATCGTAATACTAGATGATGATGATAATGATGATGATGCTCAGCATAGTCGTCCAAGCAAACATAGGTACTTATTATTATTACTATCACAATAAGTAGTAGATAAATTATTTTGAATTAAAATACGAAATGTCATTTATTTGCAATATAATTTTCACTAGCTAACTTCTGTTTTTAATAATTTGGACAAAGGGACAGGCACATGAATGGAAGATGTAGTAGCAGCATCGTCATAGCAACATCTCCACCCCTGCAGTTTTCCGGTATGACATTTCCATCCATCATCTGATACATTTTTTTCACGATTTCAGTAATTATGACCAGTGTTGTGGATTCTGTAGATAATGCATGTTGGGAACAACAATATCAATGTCGTTATTGTAGTGAATTGTAACATGTGAATTATAACACGTGAATTACGACACGTGAATCATGATATGTGAATTATGATTTTAATGTTTTCTATAATTCAGAGACCCTGATGCACGAGCAACGTCAGCAGATCCCGATTAACATTCCTGCAACGACATCATCTGTCATGAGACCGCCGATGCCAATCAAAGTGGATCCTTACGAAAACAATGTGGTATGTGAAGTTAATTAGATTTATTTTATTTTATCAGCTTTGAGACAGCTGGTATTTTTTTAAAAGTAAAAAATGAATTGAAATAAATAAAACTATCTTGCAGTAAGAGTTTATTTTAAAATGTTTTCACCGATGTAGCTGTTTTATAGTTTAACTAACTTATTTGTTCATCAGCTGAGCAGTGGCAACAACAAGCCAGCTGCAAGCCACCAGGAGCTGTACAACAGCAACAAGCAACAGAAGTGGAAGCATCGCCACATTGACAGGCACCTGTCAAGTCAAATGGGCTATTCCTGCAACCAGTCTGATCAGCCCATCCCACTGATTGGAAACCCTGGTGAGAAATTTTTAATGTTTTTATTCAATTTATCACATTTGTTAAACGATCGTTCTAGTTTGTTGGAAATCATCTAAATTGGCTTTTAATTATAAAAATTATTTTGAGAGATTGTTTTATTTGATTTTTTTATTGCCTGCACAGATGATAAAAATAGTGGCAACAATATATGTAACCCGGGGAACAGCAACAATGATATTCATCACCAACGTGTGCAAGTGAGTCCAATGTTGCACTCTTCACCGTCATCATCTTCATCTGGTGGGTTACAGAAACATCTGAAGCCGGCGCACACCAACTATCAACAGAATGGCTGTCATTCTACCAAGAAGAACAAAAAGAGACATGTATGTTGATGTTTTCCATTTCTTGCTAATCATTATTCTTTTTCCTGCTAGCATGGAAGATATTCTGTCTCTGTTAGCATGGGCTAATGAGTGCATGACGACAACACTTATTATCAGTGAAAATTATTTTTTTCACACTTACTAGTGTGATGAATATTGTGAATAAATAATAAGCACAATGAGGTCATATTCTTACTGTTCCGCAATATATGAAATAATATTTGTTACAAACTGCAGAACCTGGACTTGCCGACGCGTTCATTGAATTCTGATATTTTGGATAGCAGTGCATTGTCTGAAGCCATCCTGCCTCCAACCTCACCCAACATGGCGTCACACCCTCAGCAGTATCTCGACATGTTCGACTTACCATTCCTGGCACCTCCTCCATCATCCTTTCACCATCTTCCTCCATCCTTCACGTCATCCTCCTCTTCCTCACCACTGATGAACGGATCGATAGTGCGCTACATTGCGCCTCCTCCAATCCAAGATAGCCCCCTCATGTTTGGGGCCGGTGACAACGCAATGGCTGGCACTTCATTCCTTTTCAATCCACCAACCAATCCACCGAGCATGTCACCCAATCGAGTCAAGTTCAACTTCAGAGTTTGAAGAGTGCCAGTGTTCGTCAGTTGTACCCGTTGTTTGCATGGTATAAATAATAATTACTTATCACTTGTTCAATTTGTGAACAATTACGTTACGTTAATTGAAATGGTTGCTGGATTCACATTTTTGTATCACCAATGCAACGATCATCTGATGTATTTATAGGTTTTTTATCGTTATTTTTTCTTCCTCTTGATTAACGTTAGTTTGTAGGGCTTAGCATATTAATATTATCAATTCATCTATTGTTTCAGCAAGGTTCCATTCAATTAAATGAATGGCTGGTGTCAATCGAATGATCTGGTAAATCATTTTTATTATATTATCCAACATGCATTTTAACTCTAATTTTAACTTTTACTTAAAGATTTTTCCTGATTTCATTCACCCATACAAATATTATCCAACTATAACGTGTACACGTACACCTAAATATTAACTAAATGTCATTTCCGTACATTTGATTGATGCATCATTTCTTAACTCAATTCCGATAGATTACTGAAGGTTATTATTTATTACTCATTAAATCATTTGTCACTCCTTATATCTATGTCTACTACACCTTTCAACGTTTAAATGTGCACACACAAACTAACACACACGCATACACACACACAAACATACACACATACATATATTTATATAATATATAACTATGTATTTATATTTATTATTAATATGGTTAATCTACATATATTTTTTAGCTTCCCAATTTAATTAAAGATCGATCGACTGTATGTTATGAAATTATTGGCGTTGGGTTTAGTTAGAATAAATCTCCGCTTAGATAATATCTTTGTGTATAATTATACAAACGCCATTTTAGTCTTTGAGATGTAAATTTTAATGTAGTTGTTGTATGAATTATTTATATAAATATTTTTTATTGAGAGTAAATTTTATGGAATTAAAATACAATTGGTTGTAAATTTATAATAATCTGCATAGATGAATTAATGATGTCTGTTGAGTATTTATATTTAATTAATGATTAAAGTGTTTATTCCAGCGTTTAGCATTGAGTTGAGAACGTTTCATTGATTGCTCTTCTTTTATGACTTAAACTGTTCATTTAAACTAATTACGATGACGTGAATTGTTACTGTGAATTAATTATTTGTTTATTTAATTTTTGTGCTATTTCTCTGCATGCATGTGTAACAACTAAGTTTATAAATTACGGTGATTAGTAATCGTTTGATTGGCTGGTTGGTTGGTTGGTTGATTAAACGGTTGACTTATTGATTGATTATTTAAACGATTGACTAATTAATCGATCGATTTATTGATTGCTTAAACAAATTGATGTATCTGTTATTAAACGATTCACTAATTGATTGGCGAATTATGAATTGACAGTTGATGAAACCGTCATCTGGTTATAATAACTGACTGAGAATTAAATAAACCAACCGTAATTACTTCTTCGAAATGGCATTATATTTAATTGTATTATATAGTTTAATTACGTGATGATGTATAATTTTTTTCTGCTACAAATGCTTGCAGTTGAAAAGTTGTTTATTTACGAGCAACGAGGCAATATACATTATAATAATCTTAATCCTAAATAAATAATTGATTAAGTAAGGCTGAAATGAATTTTAATATAAATATCAGTATTGCTGGTTATGTCAAGTCACTTTTGTAAGTTAATTAATAATAGCCTGGCTCTTGGCCACTGATCATAATAATTTTTTATACAAATCAACTATTTTTCAAGCATTATTATAATTTTTATTTATTTCGTTAGCGAAAGATGAGGCTATTGTGTATATATTTTGTTTGATATTATTTCACTTATATATCCCAAACTTATCTCCCTTCAAAAAAAACGTTGTTATAACATTTTTACTTATTAACGTAGCGCGTTTTAAAGGATGATATGATATCTGATATGCATGTAATTTCATTAGGTATCTACATAAACATTACCATGGACTTGTGATGACAATCCCTCTATCTATCCTATCTCTTTCTTTCTTTCTATTTATCTTTCTGTCTATCTATCTATCTCTATTCTTTGTCTGCATTCGTTAACATTTACCTTTTGTTCTTGCTGTTAACATTATTTAACGTTGTTGCAGTTTTTGTTTGCGTTTGCTATCGAATCAATCCCTATTAAATCATAACTTACCATATGATTGATTGTTTCAATGTTGTGCGATTTATTTATGTTAACTAAATTATTTTTTCAAAAATTCTGTTAGTGAGGAATAAACGTGTTATTTCCATCATTATTCCATTTCTTTACAATTGTGATCGCCACCGAGATGTGACCATGACCATTATACCGGGCATGCGTGTTGTGCCCTACTTACAACCACTGTTAACTGCTAGAAGCTTATATATCGGAGTTCATGTTGCAACTTTGTGATTTACTCGTACTACGCGCCAGTTAGCAAATTTTAATTAAAAACTACAACGCAGAAAACTTTGAAATTTACAACCTCACTAAAGTTTTCATGAAGTTTCGATTTCAAAGTCTTCGAATGCTTTCAAATTACAATATTGATTAGTCGATTTTATAGTTTTAACGCTGCTACTCTTCAATTAATTAGCAGCAAAGCAAGTTTAAAATGTCAAATGAAATGAGCTTGATCTTGAAAGGACCCACTGGAATCAAACATGCCAATTCATTGACGTGCTACAGCTGCCCATCCTTGGTTTTCTGTGAAGGCGATGTCAAATGTTTAAATGAATTTGGTTTTATTTGATCTAAAATATGTTCAGAGGCGGATCCATGGGAAGAGGGGTACCCACCAGAGCCCTGCGCGGTTGAAATTTTCAAAAACCGCAACCGCACCGCAACGTCGAAAACCGCAACTGCACCGCCGAAAACCGCACAGCAAGAAATGAAAAACAACATTAATGCTTTTATTGACATTATAAATCACAACTATCTACATCCAAATCACTGTTACTCTTAATAAATAACATTTTGTCAATTTTGTATGGATTTAAACTGGACCGTCTCTATTGCAGTGTATAATTGAGAGATGATCCTACCCTTTCTGACGAAACACTCGAAACTGGGATGCTGAACAGAAAATAGGAAACTTGAGCTTTTAAAGAAACGTCTTTGCTTTTGGACAGCATCGATTTAATCAAAAATTCTTTATCAATTACATCTACCTGTGGATCAACTTCAACATTTTTTACCTCGGACATTTTTATAAAATAATCGGTAATTAACCACGCCGTAAATAAAATAACTACTTCTTTCAAAGTAAACAGGAGAAAGAAAATGGTTTCTTCAACGGCTTCAAAAGATATTAAGATTTTAATATATAAAATTATTACAATGATAATGCAATTTTTAAAATGTTATGGACGAACAAAAATATTTAACAAAATTTTTGCGGTCACCGCGGTTCTGATAAAAAAAAACCGCGCAGCGGAAAAACCGCATATTTCAAAACCGCAACCGCGTAAAACCGCATGATTTTGCACCGCAACCGCAAAAAACCGCGGTTGCTGTGCGGTTCAAACCGCGACAACCGCAAACCGCGCAGGACTCTAGTACCCACCCCACCAGGAATAGACCATGGAATTGGGAAAATATTGAGAAACCTAATTTAAACATATTTTACGTCATATATACAGTAATTTTTAGATTAAAAAAATGATGATTGGCATTTTTGTGGATGTTCTTTACATTTTGTTGATTTATGTTAGGTTTTGGGGAATGTTGTAAAAATAAAAGTTTTACCGAGACCTTCAATGATTTGAAATTATAATTTTCAGTTAGGTTAATATACGCAAAAAAGCACGCTTATTCAAATTATCACCAAAGTATATTCTTGAATTATTATTATCAATATTGTCATATATCATTCTTACTGTTGAGTTTCTCTCCCATGTTTGATTTTGGTTGCTCGGTTACAACATCTGCCAAATCGAAAAACGTTTTATATAAGCATGCGGCTGATATAGTCACTACATTATTTATGAATAAATTAATTTTTTAGCAAACAACGAACAATAGAACTTTTTATGAGTAATAATAATTTATATATCGGAATGTTCCAGCATGTTACCCACCACCTTCACTGAGCGGATTCTTGATGGTTGTTCCTTTCGGATTTTCCTTCGTTGGCTGGCCGCCGATGACTTCTGCGAAATATCATTCAACATCTTTCACAAGTTCAATTCATGTTAACAACTCTTTGTTAAAGATGCTGACGATGTTAATGCAATTTATTCTCTTCAACCCAATATAGCCATCTATAATTATTCAATTTTTAAAAATATAACTTCATTTTTGCATTAACTTAGCTTACACGTAGGTATAATTTATAATTTTTTAAATCTAGAAATGAATTGTTTTCATTTATAGTTGCGTAATTTTTTACAAAAACGTATTAAATTGTAAGTAGAAAATTCTATTAGCACGTTTCGTGAAATTTTTTTTATCATTTTGTGATTTTATTTAACAAATATCGAACGTTTTAAATTTGTCTTCCAAAATTTTCCGACTAACCATTTTCTGAAATTTTTTCGCCAGCTTTTGTGGAAGCCCAGTTTTTCAGATTTTTGATCATGATCTTTTGTCACGGATTATAAAGAACACCAATGTTTATACCTTAGTTAGCGTTAATAGATTCTTTGAAAATAATTTTTTCAATAGAACATTGATTGATTTTATGTTGTTTGATTTAGAAAAATTTTTCTTAATGATATAAAAAAAATTATTATCGTCATTCGACAAGTTGGTTCAAGTTGTTGTATAAAGATTTTTGCAGGCTGTTTTTTTTGACTGCATAGATTTTTTGACTGAACTGACCATTAATAATATTATTGATTTACCTAATTAAACGGTTTTTCGGTAGTCATCTTAAATAAGGAGATTTGAATGTCCGCTGATCAGTAAGATTTTGTTGTTATAATTTGTGAGGATTGTCATCGATGTTGATATTTTTGTTTATGTTTCCAAATTATTAATTCTACGTAATTTTTCCCAATACAAATCTACTCGAAATTTTTTTATTCTTCAACCAAACATCAAAATTTTATAAACATCTTCACAAATATCTAAATTTAAATATATAATTATTAATTATCTGTAAAATATGTTTTTGTAATATAATAAAGCAATAGAATCAAAACCGCGACAAATAAAAATTGTATCGAATGTTGTGATACACTACAGCCTCGCACACGGAGAAGAAACGCGCGCACAGACTCACACACACACCACACACTCACACACACCACACACTCACACACACCACACCATACACACACTGAAACACACTTACATGCAGTGATACACACTTACTGGTATACATAGAGTACAATACCACACAAACATATATACACACACACACGCACACACAAAACCACACACACATATACATACACGAATTGTACGTGTATGTACGTGTGTATACTTTTTTCCACCAATTATAACTTTTTGGGTTGTTTCTGTCCAGTCTTAGGTGAGATGAACTTAGCGAGTGGCCGCATGTCCATCAGGTCGAAGTACATTATTTCCTGGTAGGAATATTTTTTTTTTATAATTGATATTTTTCATCTGAATGATTTATTTTTGTTTACAATTTTTTTTATCAATCTTGCCATCATCCTAATTTCACACCATAATCTCATCATCGTCATCACCACCACCGTCACCACCACCACCACCACGCCGACCAACCAGCATAGACATGGCAGCCAGCAGGACAGCCTTCACGCGAATATCAAAGTCCATTGGAACTGTGAGCGTTAGGTTCAATTGACATAATTCACCAAAATTCATCAGAATTCACCGAGGTAAATGTCAAATAATATTTTAATTTAGTGATGATGATTAAAATATGATATAATGTGATTATGATATAAACAGGATTGTGGTAGCATTTAGGGGCAGATCTAGAATGGCTAGGTCACAAATGGAGGTTGTCAGCTTATTTTGAAGACTTTTTTGCTGTCTGCGTCTGCGTCTCGTTATTATTTCGAATCGATACGATTGATAACGATAAAAACGATTCAAAAAGCAGACGGTTAAAATATAAACGAATTTAAAATTGCGCGCATGTAAGTTAAAAATTTAGCAATTTTTCATTATAATGTAATGGCACAAAAAATATAACAAAACGGACATCAACACAACCAGTTCAGTTAAGCAACTTCTCCTCAATCATTAAAGTATTTGCATGCGAAATCATTAAAATGTTACCAATCTTATTATCGTCGTCTTTGTCACATCATCACTCTCTTAATGTCTGTCACCGTCACCTGTCGTTGCCATATTTACAATTAGCACCAGGTCTATCGTCAAAATGAACATGGCATCATCATCACTTTCATCGTCACGATGACGTCACGATGACGTGATAATAAGCATCATAATACTAATATCATCATCGTCGTCGTCGTCATAATAACAATAATAATCATCGGAATCATCATCAGGATCATCATCAGTACCAACACTCGGCAAGCAGGATATGTTTGTCATGATAGCCCTCGTAGGCCATTGTGCCGAACTCCCTGGATATCTTTCCGAGCGTGCCACACTTTGTTAGGGGGTAGATCTTTTAGGGAATATTTCATTGTTGCTGATGTCATTATCATTAAAACTTCCTCTTCTCTTCATCATCAATTTCAACACTATCATTAATAAAATTATTCATTTCAATCACATTTATTTTGCCATTGTCATCACATTATTACTTATTAGTCATTATTCCTGTGACATGTTTTCATCTTAATTCGTAAAAAAAAAATCATCGTCGTCGTCATCATCACCGCCGTCAATCAACGTCATCATCCTTCTCAACATTTTACCATCATCATCAAAACCTAATTATTATTATCATCATCATCACCACTAGAAACATCATCACCATCAGCAAAGAAGGTAACTTACGAAGAACTTGTCATGCATCTTGTAGAAGATACACAGTGGTTTCTGGATGTTGAAGCAAGGCCCGCTGATGATGAACGATGGATCGTGTTCGTGGTTAAATATCCAGAACACCAGCCTCAAACAACTCGTCCTGATAATAAAGTTGGAAGAACATTTTTCAGAGGTTTTAACACCAGACACACAGTGAATGTATGTATGTATGTGTGTGTGTATGTGTGTGTATGTACGTATGTATGCAAGACCACCTAGTGGTCTCACAAAATTTAACGGATCCTTTTTTGACTGCATATATGAAAAACGAAGATGTTGCAGTACATGGAAATAAAAATTTTTTTGTACGTGAAACTGAAACAACTGGACACTTTTCAATGAAGTAAATTTTTTGCCAGAAAGGAAAATTTTTTTGTTTCTTTCATTATTTTCATCAATTATCTCATTATTTTCACTACTACCACCTAATTTATTATCACCTACATCATCATCACCATCATATTATCATCACCACCATCATCATCACCTCATTCTCATCATAACCATGATAGTAATCATAACACCATCATCACTTTTATAAAAATATAATCACCACAACTACACCATATATTTTGCCTGAAACATAGCCATCACCACTACCCTCATCATTATCATCACCATCATCATCCTCGTCATCATTATCCTTACCACCACCATCACGCCAGCCCACTTTTGAACGACCCACCCAACAGGAACCCCATCAGCATCGACCACGGTCATCTCGGTGGAGTTGCACCGACAGCAGCCGGTTAGAAAGCACGGAAAGCACGTACAGTTCTTGTATTTGCGCTGCGCTCTCATTATCGTCTGTGTGTGTGTTTTGATGTTTTTGTGTTGTTGTTGTTTGTGTTTTTATTGTTGTTGTTGTTTGTGTTTTTATTGTTGTTGTTGTTTGTGTTCTTAACGTTGTTGTTTTTGTTTGTTCTTTGATTGTTTTTTGTATTGTTGTTGTTGTTTGCATTGTTTGTGTTTTTAGTGTTGTCGATAGTTGTTGTGCATGGTTTGTCGTTGATTTGATGTTGTACTTAGGTATATTTTTGATTATTATTTTTTTATTTTTTTGGCTCAGTATATTTGGTTTTGGCAATGCTAAGTGATTCACGTTCATACAGAAATAGCAGCTGATTGGTGTTGTAGTTACTTTCCTGTTAAAAATGATATTATGCATACTAACGGGCTAAAGCGCTTGTTCGGCACAACTGAAAGTGATTTGAGGAGTGAATTTGAAAATAACGACAACGAAAATATGGAGTTTATGAATCTCTGTTAACATGCGTTGATGTTAGTTGATAAGGAAAATGGTATGGTGGTGATGAGGATAATATAATGATGATGCCAAGGTAATGGTAATAAAGATGATGTTCATTTTTTAATTATTTATGATGATGAGAAGGTAATGTTGCTGCCTGTCGGTCATTAAACTGCTGACAAACACAAAACCATCCGTGCCACGCACAGCACTTGCCTCTCCTTCTTCGTTTGTGAACTTCACTTCAAATCCTCTGGCCTCCTCACAGCACAACCTATCCAACCACGGACCGTCTGGCAAGTTTAACGAAGGCATCTCAATTGTTTTCAAAATAGTTTGATTACAAATTTTTTAACTAATCTATCTTTTTTACTTATTTACTCTAGATTCAATTTATGGTTAAGCATTCATTGACTCGTTCATGTAACTGCTTAAAAACTTTGAGACGACCTTCCAATGCGTTGAGCAAAAAGTTTCCGTGTGCGTCGTAAACTTTGTACGAGATGAGACTCTTCAGCCTCATTTTGTCCGATCTGTTTGGATTCCTGTATCTAGCTGCACGTTTTCATAAACATTTATGTCTTGTATAATCTAAATTTGTATTAAAAATTAAGAATTTGAAGTTTATAAAATTTAGATATAACCATTTGGTGTGTTGACGTTTTCCCTACTGAGGACAAGTTTGTCGAGGGAGAGAAAGACACCGAATCCAGGTGGGACATCGTAAAAGATGCACGGCTTCGAGAAGGATTTGAAACAATCAGTTTCTGCCGTGGTTGTTAATTATTACGATCTGGTTACTTTGTGATGGGTTTTATTTATTAAAGTATAAGATTTTTTCTTCTATGCTGACCAAACTGTTATAATTTTGTGATGATGTAGTGTTGCATTCTTCAGTGTAATCATCTTCACAGCTTTAGTTAGCATGATTAATATTTTTTTATTATTGTTTGTTCAATAAAGTTTCAAGTTCAATAATAATAATTACATCGAAAAACAACGCCCAGTAGTCAAGTTTGAAGCAAAAACTTTAAAGAATGTAGTTACATTTAACATTAGTTAAATTAAACACAACATCTCATTCTCAGTTCTTCCTGCAAAATGATCTCCCATATTTTAAAACCATCACAACTGATACGTCACCTACTTGAAAGTTTTTCAATCAAATAATTGTTACAAATTTCAATTTTTACCACTCAGATTTTGTATTTAAAAACATACATGTATAGATTGTAGGCGTTATGATGTTACATGTTGCCGACATAAATAAATAACTCCAAGCAAGCTACTGCCGAGTTAACCAACTCAATAATTTAAAATCGAAAAATATGGAAATTAAAAAAATAAAACAACCAACAAAGCACATGCATTGCCTAATTCAAACTAGATTATTATGTGTTGCCACACACTATTTTTTCCAGCCATGCGTACCAACTTTGCACACGAACGGAAGTTGGTACCTTTTAATTTTGAGAGCAGTATTGAGCCTGTGGAATGAACTTTCAATGGCGAGCCATCACCTGCACTCACTAAAATGTGAAAAATAATAATAAGTGGATTTCAATAACTTTCGTCATCATCAGCATAATCGCCACCATCATCATCATAATCATCATCGCCATCATCATCATCGTCCAATTTGTCGTCGTCATCATCCTCATCATTGTGTAATAATTATGGTTAACAATGTCATCTTAATTTTCATCTTCTTCATCGTTTTAATTTACCAGGTTAGCCGCATTATACTGCAGCGGTTTTGTTAGCAGCAACTCTTACTGCTACTACAACCAATAATGAAAACAACAATAGATAATAATAGTGAACAACAATAACAGTAATAATAATAATTAACAGTAATAACAATCCTTACCCACCATACTCTGGCGCTTTAATGGGCGGAGGTCTTTTGACCCTAGGAGGAGCAGGTATTGGCCAGCGAGCTGCTTTATTTTGGTTGTTTAGTGTTTGTTTAATGTTTGATTTTTTTTATCAAATGATGTTTAGTGTTTGTTTAATTTCTGCTGTTTTGATGCTAGATGCTTGGTACACATTCATTTTTATTTATCAGTTTTAATTTCTTTTGCTCGTTGGAGTGTTGATTATTTGTTAGATATTCAGTGAGTGATTAAAATATTTTAATACTTTGAGTTATTTTCATCATTAACAGTTTTACACCTTACTCTCGTTTAAAATATATTTCTTAAACTGAAGTAAAAAGTTTGCCGTTATCTGAACCAAACACCGCCTCTGTCGGTCACAATCACACAGGACTGTAAGAAAGACAGAATGTACGAGCGTGTTTGCGTGGTTATAAAAGTGGGATAAATTTGGATCTGGACAAGCAAGGAATGGATTATTATAGCAAACTTTTTTTATTACCAACTCTGCATCAGTTACGACTGCAATGATTGAAACTAAAAAAGATTAAAAAAGTCTTATTTAAAGCAAATCATTCATTATGTTGCGTGTTTGGTTAATTAACATGGTGTTAGGACATTTTTAAATGTTGTGTTTTAAAATAATTCATCCTATCTGGATAAAATAATTAATCACACATTCAAAAGTCCCAAATAGGAAGCATCGTTGCAAAGAATTCTACACATTTTAATTGTCGTTGTACTGTAAGAGTATACGTTAAAACATCTTTCTTTTACCTTTTTCACCGTCTCTATCCAATGATTCACCCATGCGATTTTGCTTCAAATGATAATGTAAGTATAATTTATCTCAATAATATCAATAAAAATTTTAATAATATTAAAACAATAATTATTATTAGAAATAGTTATAATAATAACGGTAATGATTTACTATAACTGAGTAAAACGTTTAAAAAAGTTTCCTTTTATGCAAAGTAATGATTGATTCAATATTTTGTTTTTTATTTATAATTCTACAAAAGACATATGTATATGTTTGTCTGTGTATTATAGCGCTGTTTTCAAAATTTCAATTTTTTGTTCAGGCAAATTTCGATAAAATCATATCGAAAAAAATTTAGAAAAAAATTTAATGCGCAGTGTATATATACATACTTTTATAATTTCAAGTTTAGAAATGCTAATTATGCTCAACCAAGTCAAGCTGTTCAAATTGAATAGTAATGCCTTAATTGAAATTGAATGTTAATTAATTTTTCTAATGTTTCTTTCACAATGTGGATGAGTGTTCAAGATTATTTAACGCTTAATTTATATTAAATAGATTTTTAAATGAAAATATCGAAGGAAATGGTCTAGATAGCATATTTCCAACTAATTGTCAACTCACACACACACACACACACACACACACACACACACAAGCCACATAAAAATCATATCATAACACACCAACACAAGTTCATCCGAGTGTATGTATATAGAAAATTACACGATATAAATGCATATTAATGAGTCATGTATATGTATGTATATATGTATAGGTGTATTTATGCTTCAGCAAGTACGTACATACTTTATAATCATTTACGTGTTACTCGTCATGTCTGCGTATGCAATGTAACGCACACATAGGCAGAAAGATGGTACATCACGTAAAATACAGGTGTGCCCACAAGCAATGCATTCATTCATTCGTTCGTTTGTTCGATCAAACAAAATCCTCATTGTCGTCATCATTAATATTAACACATTTTTGTACGTGCTTCAATTATTTATAATTATTTTTCAAAAACGAAAACTAATGCGTTAACACACACACCATACACACCACATAACATACACACACCACTCACACAACACACACACCACACACAAACATGCACACAACACAAACACAACACAAACACAACACACACACCTGCCTATAAAAAATTGTGTCTAAATAATATTCTTTTATTTCATGTACAATTTATGATTGCAAAAACAAATCAAGGTGACTATTTAAGCATTAAAATAGAAACACTTGATTTGTATGTGTTGGTAGCAAGAAACAGCAGAGTTTTGTGAGATGACTGAAAAAAACCCATTTTAATTGAGTCTGGTCACTTTCTTAAAATTATCAAAGTAAACTTTTATTTATCATATTATCATATCAACGCGTAGCAAGTGCGTTATGAACTCATTCAAATATCGAATCCATTGATCGTCATCACTGATAACGTTGAATCTATTGTTGGATTAATATTTTTAAATAATTCATCGCGTGAACTATCGACAAAAAAGAAGACACATAACGGCTTGAGAAACCTCATGTTCCCGCAAAACCATATTTCTCACTCAAAAAAAAACAAGTTCAGGTTTGTTTCTTTGTACGTCAAAGGCACATTTTTGATGCGAAATTCAAAAATTACCAAAAATTGTTTATAGATTATTTAAGTCAGAGAGATGCTTGACGCTCTATCTAATCTACTAAGAAAAACATGTTGAAGATGGTGCTTTAAGGCATAAAAGCGGACAGATAATAAATGCGATAACATTATTATGCAAAACCAAAAAGTGATTTGTCAACAAAAATAAATAAACTTCTGTATCTCTGCTAAATTGAGTACATGCAGTGGCAGGTCTAGACAACATTAGAGGGGGCAACATTCGTGAGTTTTGTGGTCCAAATTACGCTGATGACCATATTTTTTATTTTTTGGTACTTTTTCGATTAAAACGATGAGTTTTACTGATTTTAATAGAAATACTGCATTCAAATACTGGTCCCACCGGCCCCCACCTAGATCCGCTGATGAGTACATGAAAGATATTAAAAAATAATATTTAGTAAAAACAATACACGAAAACGGATGTTGACATAGATGAGTGAATACACATACTTATTAATGATTTTCAGTGTATCTGTGACGAGTTTTTTGCATTAATACTAAATAGAAACCGGCGAGTATTTAACCGATCAATTTTTATCGCTAGGTTGTAACCATGTCATATAATGTTTTTGTATGTGTGTGTGTGTGTGTGTGTGTGTGTGTGTGTGTGTGTGTGTGTGTGTGTGTGTGTGTGTGAGTGAGTGAGTGAATGAGAAAGTGAGATTTTCACTACATTTGCATTTGGAATTTTATTCTTATAATTGACAATTTATATACAATTTATATAATTTATTCTTTCGTGTTTTTTATGAAGTCTTGTAGTCTTGCAATTAATTAAATTACTTAATTTGAATACAATTTAAACAATGTTAATATTAAACATGTTCTTATTGACCCATCAATCTTGCTAATGGTTAACGACGCGATATATGGTGTGGTGAAGAGTTTCTAAAAATGGAGTCAAATGACTTTTAAATGATGAAAATAACTTTTATTTTTTTAAATTTTGTTAGCAAACTTGTTAGAAACTTTTATTAAAAAACGCTATGAGTAAAATCCTCAGATTATAAAAATGTTACCAAAAATTCAGAATATTATTAAAAATTAACTTATATAAATTTATTAAAAATTGAATCACGTAGTGTTCTTTTTGACTGAATTTAAAACTCGTTCATTGATCAAATTTAACAAAATATTCAGTCATCTGCTAATCGTCAAAAATTTTTGAATCATCGTTTAATAAGTTTATAAGTAATGTACTGGCTTAAGGTATTGCACAGTTGTAGAATAACATCGACATCGTAACTGTTGTAAACTGTAAATCGTTCAGTGACTTTAGAGGTATGATTTAAAATGTAAATTAATTTTAAGAGTTTATCTAGAAAATTTATCAGAAGAAAATGTGCAAAAGAAATTAATTTAATCACATTTGACGACATTTGCATTAAATCCATATTGATAGTGTTATATGTGCCTGTGTTTATGTGTATGTTTGTTCATGTGCGTTTATATGTTTGTGCGTGCG